ATCTGCCATCGGCTAGCTCAGTCTCTCAAATTTGCTTGCCGTGAATCTGCACTGAATTTGCTTGCAAGCAAACCTTCAGTCCTAAAAGCAGAGCTGAAGATCTAAAGACTAGCTAGAAAGCAAGAAATGCAACCGTTTTCTGATTCATAGCTAATCTAAATTTCCCGGCACAGCAGAACAGATGATGGTTGGAAAAAGGAAAAATAGCAATTTAGCAGGCAAGTTTGGTAAGGAGTGAGTGGGCAGGGAGGCTTCCCGCAGGCCATGTGGGAGGCACATCCTTGGGTTTCTGGGCAGCCTGGATTAATTGCTTTTGGGGGGGGTGCTCTGGGGGGTGAGATTTCTCTGCAACCCACCAAAATTTTCTCATGGCCCACTAGTGGGCCACGGCCTACCGATTGGCGACCACTGATCTAGAATAAATAGCAGAAAAAAGAGTATTGAGGGTTCACAAGGTTGAATGTCTATGGAACAAAACTGACTGAATCTAGTTTTTCTGCTTCAGGTTCCGTGAAGCCCCTTCCTCCCAGAAAGTAACAAGAAAAATTGGTGATGGAGAGGATGTGTATCATCCCTGACAATTCTGCAGACTCTGCCCAAGCGTCATTTATATGCCACGTCCTGGAGAGAAGGAACTGAACTTTTACAATAATCTTTTCTGCTGTCCTCGCCACTCTCTGCACAGCCTTCCTGTCTGAAGCACTAATGCTTCCAAACCAGACAGCAATACAACACGGAAGGATGCTTTCAATCATCCCCTTATAGAAAGTGGTAAGGACAGTGGAAGGAAAATATGCTTTTCTCTTATTCTTTCAAGCTTTCAGGTTTGTGCTGGAGCCCATTCTCAAGGAATTTCTCTCTCTCTCTCTCTCTCTCTCTCTCTCTCTCTCTCTCTCTCTCTCTCCCTCCCTCCCTCCCTCCCTCCCTCCCTCCCTCCCTCCCTCCAGAATATGTGCACTGGGCTGTTCTTCTACACAATGTATTTATGTAGTTCCTGGTTATGTGTAGCTTTTAGTTGCTGATTAGGGTGTTAATAGTTGCCTTAATTAACACCATTAACATCCTAATCAACATCTAAAAGCTACAAACAACTAAGAACGATATAAATACAACATGTAGAACAGCCCACTGTGCACATTCTGGAGAGAAAGAAATTCCCTGAGGGTGGCCTCCAGCACAAGCCTGAAAGCTTGGAAGAATAAATTGTTGGTTCCCATGACCGACTCAGATTAGATCCTGAAACATTATCCTGGGTCATGTCTATTTACTTTCATTCCTCAGCGTTGCTCCCTGTTGCCTCTCTGCTACATCCGAAGGGTCCCTGGATTGTAAGAAGATACCTTGCTAAAAGATCTAACTTCATATTTGCAGCTTTTCTGCTGGAATGATGTCAGCAATAAAACCATCTTCAAGTTGAATTCACCTCAGTTGCTCTTTTATGCATTCTCTCCCACCCTCGCCCAGATCTGCTCAGCAAGCCCCAAAATAACTCATTTTCACACCCAACTCCTTTACGAAGCAGGGGGTTGTTGTTTTTTAACGCATGGGCTACATTTGAGAAGGCCATG